CGAAGCTATTTAATATTAATTAAATATTAATTTAAAAACAGATAAAACATAAATACTATGACTACATTAATTTTTTTTCTTATCTACCGTAAAAAGTAAAAATATTAAATTCATAAATTATTTTTTAAAATAATATATATTTTAATTTGCAATATTTAACTTAATAATACTAATAAGAAAAACTAAAAAAATTAATAGATAAATAATAATAATAGTAGTAGTAGTAGTAGTAGTAGTAGTAGTAGTAGTAGTAGTAATAATAAAAACGAGTAATTTTCTTCTTAAATCAGGGCTTAACTTTTCAAATAAAGATTTTCAAAATTTTCAATCCAACACAGCAGTCGATTGGCAAGTGCGAGAGGACATAATAGAGAAAGTATGAAAATGATAGTTTATCGATATAAAGTATCGTTGTGCAATCTCACCTCTTCGATAGCTTCACTAAATCCGTCAAATGAAACTACGGCAGTTGTCTGTCGCTCCTCTTCCTTCTCGCTTTATATTTTTTGGCACCAATTATTAAAAACATTAATTATTACATTATATATCTAAAACTAAAGTTTTTCGCGCATGCGTGGTGGTGTGTGATTTTGTGCGATGAAACTTCTGCGATTGACTGGAAGTAAGTTTGTGTTGGAGAGCGACTGCAGCGCCTCTCTCACTCCCTCGCTCGACTGAATTCCTCTTTGTTTATTCTTCGAATCGTGGTTGCCAAGTATTCAATGCGCTTGCTAATAGCGAGACTGGACCAGTAGCTTCACGAATTTACCCGATTTTGTCGTTCCAATCCTGATAATGATAATCCTATCTTCGGAATTAGTATCCCTCGGCTCTCACCATAAGCTTCCAATGCCAAAGTTGACGAGAAGAGGTTGAAGAGCATCGATCAAACGACCGAGTTGTCATCTATTGCGTATTCCACTTATTCTCTCACTGATTTGCCAGTCTCGACTGAAATATTTCAGGGACGTACGCTGGAGAAGCGATGCATAGCTGAATGCGTAGCGTTTATTTTGAAAATTTTATTCCCAACGCGCCTTTCCGATTTGGAAAGCGAATTCACCAACCCGAGCAACAATTCCATCATTGACAATGTCCCATATTATCGGAGATCTATAATTTATTTAAAATTAGTTCCCGTGTATCGTGCGGATACAGTATTCTCGGCTGATACGTTCGATTTTATAATTGGATTTTTTTTAAAAACATCTCCATTTGAAATAGCGATAAGCATTAATCGTGTAATTTGGCTGCAAGTTGTAGTTGTTGTTTTTTTTTTTTTTTTCTTTTAAATCGGAGACACATATACACGTTCGATCGATGTACATACTTTATCGAATGTATATAAAATAAAATGTAGCATAAATTATAAAAATTATCATTCAAAATGGATATTAAGCATTAATATATTAGACTTTTTAATTATAATTCTATATAGTATTTATATTAAATTTTTTTTTTTTTTTTATATATATATTTTCATATAAAATATTGTTTATGATTCACACGGGGAATCTATAAAACTTAATAATTACCCGTCAATTTAAAACAAATTGTATAATAAATGTAAACCTACATGATTTATCAATTTTATTTATCTCCTTTTATCGTCATTGCATTACATTAAAATAATAATACTTTAGTGTGGTATTATGAATAAATTATTTTTCTCTACAAATATAATGATAAGTTTAGAATAATCTAATTCTTTTAGTTTTAAATAATCGATTTATAATAAAATCCATTGTAATTTAGATAATTAATGTTGAATATTAGAAAATAGAATAGTTTTGAAAAGCTTAATCAGATAAGACATTCTTCAAACATCTTTTGAATAGAAAAAAACTAAATATTTATTATGGCATATGTTTTTAAAAAGTTTTTAAAAAACTGCATAAAACCTATATGGTTGATCATTTTGATAAATGTAAAATTCAATTTGAACACTTTACAATAATCATTTTCATTTATTATCTTAATCTTACTTTGCATACTATTGTGCATCCAATAGAACATTAAGCAAAATAAATAATGCGATCATTATTAATAATATTCCGGTATTTTTTTTATTATATAACATTTTGTACATATTGTATCACGTATATCTTGTACTAACAATAATGAGATTTAAATATCTTGAAAGTCTTTATATATTGTACGATAGTATTTTCATAATATTTCAGATATGATTACTTTAATTTTTTTTATATAATATATATATATATATACATTTGAATATATTAAAATGAAAAAAGGTTGATAAAATAAAAAATACTCAGTTATTCCTGTTTGCTTTTTATTACAATAATAAAAGAACAAGAGTCACTTTTTCTAAGAGTTCTAACATAGAAAGTAAACTTTTGCTGAAAATTAAACTTGACTATTACATAACTTGGCATATTCTCGAAATGTCAACGCTCAGGCGGATACTTATATTATTTTATAAAATACACAAAATATTCATAAATTATTTCAATTTCATAAATTTAGATGATAATGTCTCAATTAGTTTGGTATTTTTCTTCATTTTATTTGAAAAATGAAATGACTAAATGAAAAATATGCATTTTAAAAAGGGAAAAGTGTATTATCCTCGGGTCGATATTAAACGTAAATTATTATTCACCGGGTTATATCACAGAGCCTATATACTTTTGGATTCTCTAATTCACAAGATAAACAAACCAAATTTTTTTAATATTTCATATCGTATTAATGAAATGAGCACGAATATATTAAGCAGAACAATATGGAAATATGTATAATTTTCTCCTTTGTGTACTTTAATTTTTTAACCTGGTATTATTTAATTATTTGAATAGACCATGTGCTCAGTTAATCCAACATAAAAAAAAATTATATTAAATTTTATTATTTGTTTGTTAATGTAAATTTATCGAGTTATAACATCATGGGTCTAATATTTTATTCCATCTTTAGTTAATGTCGTCGAAGTAATGTTTAACGATACCGCAATAAGAAATAAAAAATACACAGACAATTTCGTTAATTATACTTTTCGCTGTTATGTAGTTAGAGAGAATTTCACCTTAATAATTTAACAAGAAAGTGAACGCGAAGAAAGAAAAATATTATTAAAAAAAAAAAAAAAAAAAAGGAAAAAAAGGAAAAAAAGTACCTGTAATGCATTTTATCGCATATAGAGTTTTCGATTTTTAATCTTTGACAAATAATGTGAGCAAAATCATAAGATAAAAGCAATCTGAAAACTAACAATCCCGTCTTATCGAAACATAACCTGCCGTGAGCTATTTTCCATTTTATATTTATCGTAAAATCTAATTGGAACTCTATCAGCTTTAGTCTATTATTTTTTTTTAAAACAAAAATTTATTAATTTGTTATACATTTATTCACTACTAATATGCTAATATTCGGTGGCGTGGGAGGGGGGGGGAGGGAAGAAGGACAGAAAAAAAACTGGCTTTAGTGCTTATATTGTTGTCGAATTGCAAATGTGTGAACTAATCTATTACAATAAAGCTGAAATTTAATAATAACATTTTGTTGAAAAATAAATTACAAGCGAGTCGGAGAACCTTATTAATTAAAGAAATTATTTAATTAACGATGTCTTAAAAATACTATAATTTATTATAAATAATATAACCAAGAGATTAAATACATATGAAATAAATGTTGTTTGTACTTATAATGACAATTTCGCGATTTATTTATCCCTTCTTATATGCATATTTGTTATTTGTTTATACATATATTTACTTATTTCTGGTCCATCAATCCATATAGGAACAGGGAAACTTACATTATAGCGATAAATTTCTCTTCTACGTATAAATCAAATAATAGTCTGTTTACTAAATGTGAGGAGGTAACGTTGAACAATGTATGGCCACACTTATAAGACGGAAGAACGAACATCTATGCATAATCGTTTACCGTTACAAGATTTTATATAATTATTTGCTTGGAATTAAATGTATATAATATTCGATTTTTAATAATACATTTGAAATACTTTTACAACATAAGATTTTATAATCTGCAACATCGATCACATTTTATCTTAACTAGAATAAGCATAATTTTTTTCATTACACAAAACTTGCAAAGTTGCCGTTTATTTATGTTAAAATTCTTTTTATTATTTTTTTTTTTAATCTTTTAAAATTTTCTAAATCTTTTCGATTTTTATAATATAAATAACAAAATTTTTATTGCATTATTTGAATTAACAAAATTTTCGGACTTTCTAGTAATTTCTTATCTTTTTATAGAAATGAAAAAATGAACGTAGTATATCTCTGAAATCACATAAGGAAAGATTCTTAAGAAATTGATAACATTAGATCAACAAAATTAGATCAACAAATAAAACAAAATTATTGTTAAATTTATATTCCCAGTTATTATTGTTAAGTTATTGATCGTGATGGAAGAATGCCTACTGCATGAAGATTTGAGAGATTGGAATTAAATTTATGTTTAACAAAAATCTATGTACGACTGCAGTCTGATAATCTTTTGACAATAATTTATTCGTAAGCTTGAAAAAACTTTATAACATTATATATAATATTATTATATATAATGTTGTAAATTATATAAAATTAAAAATAGAATTTAATATGACAATGTTTACATGTAAGAGGAAATTGCACATCTAATTACATTTATAATAATTATAAATAACATTAAAAATAATATATTTATATGTTCTTCTGTAAAGTAATGAGTCAATGGAAATTTTTCATGAACTTTGTGTATATATATATATATGTATATAGAGGAAATTCTTTGACTGCCTTATGGTTTGCCTATTCTGTAGGAACAGGATTATGAGCTAAAATTTGTCATTATGCATAGGCAATATTCATAAGTATATGTATATGTATATGCTCCACAGCAACAATAACACATTAATACTGATCGTGACTATGCTTTTATGTAAACAGTGTGCTACGGGCAAATTTCAAATATTTGAAAATTTCGCTTCGTTTTCCCGATAAAATAATTTTACTTTGACAACGTTCATACATATTTGCGTAAACGCATACACGCGAACATGTATATATTTACGCATATACGTATATAATAGTAAATATAAATAACGGCGATACGCCGAAATGTCTCTTTTCTCTCTTATTACAATTGAATTTTTAATACTTTTTAATATATGTTTTACATCTGTCTGCTCACAATATATATATATATATATATATATATATATATATGTATATATATATAATGTTTTATAATATTTATATTTTTGTATATGTAATATGTATATTATTATTATTATTATTATTATTATTATTATTATTATTATTATTGTTATTATTATTATTATTATTTTGTCTTTATTAATAATGTTGTAAGATAAGTTGCGGGATTGAGAAAACAACATATCGACATCTTCAGGTTATATAATAGTTAATTTAAGAAAAATTTCGAATGCGAAAACACGAGTTTCATTCCAATCCTTGAGCATTCACATATAAAATTAACTAAAAATATGCAAATGTATTTTTGTCCGGGAGTGTTTTAAAAGTAAACACGCATCTTTCTAATTTTATTGAAAATAATAACGACGAATAACAATTACAAAATAAAATTTATACTTTTTAATAATCACAAAATGAAGAATTTGATTTTTTTTCTATTGAGAATAAAGTGGAACTTTAATTGTTCTTTCGAAATAATTCAGACTCCAAACATTATTTTCCTTTAAACAGCTGTAAGATCCGAAGCTTAAACAATAATACAAATAACATAATCAGCATATTAGGTGAGGCTTTAGAAAAATTAATACGAAAATGACAACATAACATATTTACCCTTGTAGCGAGCGTGTTGAAAAATAAAAAAAAAATAAAACAAAAAACAAAAAAAAAAAAATAAGAGAAAAAAACCGGAAAATAAATAACACTGCAACACTAATTGCGAGAACGTCGAAACGAACGAAAACCAAGGAATTCCAGAACAATACCTAAATCTTATAACATAACCTAAATACATAGAATCGTAACAATACTCGAACGAAGCAAGGTAGCAAATATTTTTAAGTACAATAAGGAGCGCATGCCTAGAGTTAAGAAAAAGTCAAGCGTGCTCGTCGAGTTATCGCATGACGGAGCTTCGTCAGGGCCCGATCGAAAGTGTACTCGGAGCTGAATTTTGCAAAAGGGCGAACCCCCGGGAGTCAGGCAGCGAATGGGTGTAGTGCAGGGCTGACAGGAGTGAGGTCCGCGCTCAGGTAGATCGCAGGTCGTCGTTGGAGTGGGAGGGAGACGCACCTACTCGCGGACTAGATCGTCCTGCTCCCGGACGGACACATCTATGGTAATGCAGAGGTGGTAGAGCTTAGCGTGGCGGCGGTGGAGGCGGTGGCGGCGGTGGCGTGGGCGGTGGCGTGGGCGGTGGCGTGGGCGGTGGCACTCTCGATGGTGATCTACGCCTGCTCGGAGCGACGCCTCCGTCCTGGCCCGCCGGCGTAATTGGCGGCCGCAAGGCCCATCAGGTGCTTTGCCGCCTGGCTCCCGCTGAAGCCGCGGCTCAGCCCAAGGTCAAGGCCGCGCTTTGCACTGCAACAGTTAACCTCCTGTCACCACAACCGGCAAACTATCCCGGCGCTCGGTCAGGATTAGCGTTATTGCCACCCGGCCGCGTGCCATTTTACTCGTCGAGTTATATTTATTATTGGACGCGTGATTCGAATGACGCAATCTCATTACATTTGACATTGTCTTAATCCTGGCCGCGCACATCTGCAAGACGCCAAGGTATTACGATCGTTAATTGATGAGGTCGATGCTTAATTATCCGTATGACTCATTTCGTGGATTTATTTGAAGCTATTTAACTGTCACCGAATGCATAAATAGAGCAAAAATAGTTACTTTTATTTTTATTTAATTCAATTCAATTATAATTTGGCAGGTGTAATAAATACCCCTTCTATTGTTTCACGAAGTAGACGATCTTCCTGTCCACTAATCTAATGAATACTCGAGGAAATCAAAGGAATATTGGTTGAGAATAAATATTATATGATCGTAAAGCTAGTAATCGTGCGAATTCCTCTTGTGTCTGATTAATATTCTTAAAATTCGGTATGCGAAAATATAAGGAATCTTCAACATAATATACACATAATAATTTATGAAATCCGACTTTTGATAAATAAGCAGCATCCTCCTTTCTTATTATGAAAATGAATATTAAAATTTTTAATAACATTAACATTATGAATGTTAACGTTCAAACTTTTAATCAATGTAGGGAATATTAGGATGAAATTTATGAGAGAATGCAATGGTATTCTATGAAAATTTATTCATAATTAAATGTTGTATTTTAACGTAATTTTAATATTACGTAATATATTTTTTATCATTATATTACCGACATCCATTGAAGGTTTTGAAAATTTTGTTAGTAACAAATTTTCATAAACAAAAATTAACGCAAATAAAGGAATATTTGTTGGTTAAGTATTTTTATGCGCGCACACACGAATCGAACGAATTTTACAATTAAAACTAATTGCCAAAATATTATCAATAATTTATAAGAAATTTCGTATATTATTAAAACTAATATCATGTAGTTTCGCACGGTTTCTTTGTATATATTTATTTAGTAAAAAATAACGAATGGACGTAAATGAGGTATTAAATATTTTCTTATTATGAGAAATTTATAATTATCCGAAGATTATTTTATTAAGTTTTTCTTACTTGTCTGGCTGGACAAAGATGGCCAAATTTTCAATTCTATCCAGTAGTTCCTGCGCGGCTTCCGGATAATCTTCTTGAAATTGATTCCAAAGAGTACGCGATCTACTATAAAAATGTAAAATATTGCTATATAAAATATTGGTATAAATTATTAGTTTGAGTATCTATAAATCGTTTTTATTGCTCAAAAAAAAAAAAAAAAGAAAAAAAATAAAAGAGAAAAAATAGGCCTGTGCGCTTCTTTAAAGCATTTTGATATTAATTTTTATTTTCTATATCAATTGTGTAGTGAAATAACATATACATTTATATACGATAATGATAATGAGATTATTTTTTGTTATGCTTTTAATTAATTGCTCTTCGTTACGTAATACATACACGTAATATTTTCTGTATATTTGATTTATTGACTGTTATTTCGGGATAAATGCAATATGTAATGACTTTGGCTGAAACTACGTTCTAACATGTATGATTTTGAAAAAGCTATTACTTAATTTTATCGCAATAATATCAATATTCCGGAAAATTTTTCATTAAACAACTGTTTATCGATTAGAATCTATTGCATTAAACAAATTATATTATTAATTGGAGATAATGCATTAGAGTTTTGAAAGTTTTAGAGGAGAATGATTAATCGTAGTTTCCAAATAATGTCTTAGAAAGCTTTTTGTAATTCACATTAATGTATACTACTAAAGGCCGTTTTTAATATTTCAAATCATAATAGACAAAATAGTTAAAATTTTACTTTTTTCAGCACTCTATATTGAAATTTAAGTTTAATATAAATTTACATTGTAAAAAGAAAATTTTTTTAAGTTTTTCTTACGCATGATTGAAAGTTATCGTTTGACGAATTTCATGAATCTTTTAATTTCAATCTACAAAATTTTAATAAACTTTCATATAATTAATTAAAATATCTGCAAACTATTCTCGCATCAGACAATTTTATTATAAAAATTAAGTTCTAATACATTTTTTCAATATTTAATGCGCATAAATTATGTAAAAAATTTAGGGCTCTTCTGATTATTAGAGCTCAAAATTTGCAAATTTATGTTTATGTAAAAATATATATATATATATATATATATATGTTCTTAATAATATTGTGGTAAATGGATAAGGACTTGAAAGAAATGAAGAAAGCAAAGAACGAAGTGCGCCTTCTATTAATGAACTATTAACGAATACAATTTTTTTTTTGGTTATAATAGTAATTACGTTATAAAATTTTGTTAATCCAAAGCAGCAATTTGGATTGGTAACAAAATTGGTAAGTTTTCCAAAATGAAGATCCTTTGAAAAATGTTATGCATGATTGAAAAAGAACAAAATTTAAAGTTTAATATGTTTTCTACATTGGCGATAGGTATGCAAAGACGTTTTTTTGTAAATGGGAAATGACACGAAGACGCTTCACCTTTTTAATTAAATGTAACAAAAGAACAATTTGAAAAAATCTAGTAAAAATAATGATTATGGTAAAGAAAATGTGTGAATATTAAAAAAATTTTTGTTCGATATTCAGAGAATCTCACCAAAACTACCACACAGCGTTGTTGTGTAGTACGCAAAATGTTGCTGCTTGACCAAGACGCCCCCTCCCCCTCCCCCTCCCCACGTCACTAAGACTAAGAAAGGGGTGAGACACCCGATTGAAGGCGCTGCAGCCAAAGACACATTTTTTTTTACAACCTCTCCCTTTTCTCAGGGTAACCTAGCATCAAGAGCACCACGTCACGAGGATCAGGAACCTTACAACCTACTATCTCTAAACCAAGTGCACGCAAACGCCACGTGCCAACCGCCACAGAGCAACTAAAGGTTCATCTATATCTTCATCAACAATAATCATCTATGTTAAATTAAAATATAACACTGCTTTTAAAATCAATTTATAAATAATTAATGTGTGATAATTTTAAAGTGTCTGTAATGCTCTATCAAATGAGAAAGTGATATAAGATAAAATGTTTAGAAGAAATTTAAGGTGCAATGGATTTTGTATTTAGTCTTTGTATTGGTAGATTATGTACAGTATGTAAGCTAAGTATATGTGTAATAAAAATTTTAAGAGCCTTTTAAAAAAAAAGAAAAAAAATAATTAATTTTTATAAGATACTTATTAAAATGATAAAATAAAAAGTCCTAAAATTATTAAGGCATTATTGTTTTTAAAAAATGTATATATTGTACTAGATTATATAAATAAAAAGTAGAATGAAGCTTAAGCAACACGTAATTTTGCCAATACAACAAATAGACTTGAGCACACATTTGTAAACGTATACATTGGCGATTTAGTAAGTATCAGAGTTTTATTTATTTATTTTTTTTTTTTATTTTGTTTTATTGATTTTCTTTTATTACGCTCTCGCTTAGCACATATGTTCCATTAGTGAAATTAATTTTACACACGTTTTATGGCTATCGAAACTTGAGCAAACGGAATCCTTGTTGGTATTTATTTAAGTGCCGTTGTACGATCGAATGATGGAGAAAGTGAGCATTGAAAATGCTCATAAATTTACGATTTCTGATTAATTTCGTAATCGTAGTTGGCAATTCCATGGATAATTACAGCAGCTGAGTTAGCATTACGGATTTATGCGGTTGATGGGCTGTCGCCAGACCCAATGTAAAACGATCGTGCATTAAAAATTTCCATTTATTTTTTTCTCTACATACTTGATGATTGCTATAGCATCGGCGTACAGCGATGTGAACACATTATAAATTACAAATAGTAATTTACAAGTCGCTCAATCTAATAAAGGAATTTCATCTATTTTCGTCTGCTCCTCGATAATCAAACGCACATTAGTCGGAACTACAACCCCTGAGCATACGTACATAAATTCATAATAATTTAGAACAGGAATTCATTGAATTTTATTAGAAAATTTTTAAAGCGAATGGCACGAAGATTAGGGGAGTACATTTTGTAATATAAATGTCTTAAATATTGAATCGGTTTTATTTACTTGGGAACGTCATAAATTAAGATAAAACATCCCAAAGATAACCGATCATTAAGAGATCATTAAATTGCTCTGTATTGTTTATACTTTTGCGATTAATATGCTGAAGATAAAAAGGAGAGATAGAAAATTTATAGTTTAAGCGATTAAAGATAATTATTCTCATTCGTTGGTCTGCCATTTCATAGTGTCGGAGAACCGATTCTACTTATTTTGAAAGTTCTCCATACAAAATAACAACTGATAATATCATTTACATATGCGGCATTCTGCAAAATTAAGAAAATGAGCTTTTTTACGAGATTAGTTATTTTAAAAGGAATAAAACTGTCAAGTCTATATGACAATATTATGAGACTATTAATTAAAATAACTTGATATTAAAATATTGCAATCACGTGGATTTATATCGCGAAGAGCGTTATTCGCGCTCTCGTTGATAAATTTATGACTTGCGCAAACATAATGTGAGCCTCATATCGATAATTCAACTTTATATAATAAACAAATTAAAAAGTAGGATAGGCAGGCCTTATTCTCGACACGATTATACAAGTCTTATAAAATGACAATGGCAGTTTAAATTTAGAGAACTCCTCTTTTACGCTTGCTAAGTGTCTAAGTGAATTGGTCTATATATATATATATATATATATACATATAGAATTTATATACATATAAAAAATATATATATATATATATATATATATATATAGAGAGAGAGAGAGAGAGAGAGAGAGAGAAAGAGAGAGAGAGAGAGAGAGAGACGCGCTATATCAAGAGGCAATTTATTTCATGAAAATCCAATTTATAAAAGGGATAATGAAAAAGTACCTCGGCTCCTACTATCATTAAGATGCGTGAATTATGAAAATGCAACAACAACATTATGCAGAGTGCTTACGTGTAAGGTAAAGCCTCGACACGATTGGGAATAGTTAAAGCAGCGAGAGTGGCCAACAGTAGCCAGGAAAGCGCGATTTTCTTCTGCATCTCTAACGAGGCTTCGCTTAACTGCAATCTGCAATCTGCAATCTGCAATCTGAAAAATAAGAGAAATCGGCCCGAGTTAATAACGAGTCTTTCGTAATTTATACAATTTCTTCATTATTATTATTATTATTATTATTATTATTATTGTTATTTGTTATTAATTGTTATGTTCATTGGTTTTTTTTTCTTTTTTTTTTATTTAATTTACTGAAGCTTCACTGCTTCTGCTCAAGTGGTAAAAGTAGATGAACATTTTTTCCAGTTCAATAATTTTTTAATATTACGAATATAAAAAAAAACATGATACTTTGAATTCTCTTATGATTAAATCTTATGATTATGGGTATGCCGGAGCATCAATATTATTATTGATATTATGTATTTGTATTTTTTGTTCGTAAAATTTGTTGGTTTCTTTAGTTTTCATTGTAATAGGATGTATCACGTTTGTCACGGGTTTCGTGCTTCAATTATGATATAAGGACGAATGGAAAATCCGGAAAATTCATCGATAGGCTTAGTTAGACTTATCATTTAATGATAACTAAACTAGACGATCACCATTTTTCCTCATTTTTACGTTATCCACGCAAATAACATTCTCTCTTAAATTGTATCGCGTCGTTCAATAATTGTAGATGGAACTTTTTTTTTTTTTTATAGAATAATTTAAAATGTTATATATCCAAAAGTAAATATAATGAAAACTAATATCTTTTTAATATATACGATAAATCTATTAAGAATGATAGTTTGCGTGGAAGGTCCTATATTTTGATGGATAGTCACACGATGTAATTAATAAGAATTTTTGTGTAATATTCGTCGCCAACTATTTAGTAAATTAACAATATTTTCAAAGATATAGCATTAGAGGTAAAATATAATTATAAATCTTTTTTATTTTAAACGAATTGTTAATAAAAAAATCAATATTTATAATGCATAAACAATACAAATTTTATAACGTATTTTAGATAATTCATTAGAAAAACTACTTTCTAATGATAATCATTCAAGGTAAATAATATTGTTATTATAAAATTGAAGTGAAAAGAAATTCATTTCAAGATGCAATATTTTTTGCTGGACAACAAAATAAAATTATTATTTGAAAGATAAACATTAAATCAGCATTTTTATCAATATTTTGAAAACATGACAGTTTCAAAATTTGTTTTGAACTCTCGAATATAAACATCTCTTAATTTTAATCATATGATTAAAATATCGTAGCCCAATATATCTCAAACATATTGGGATTAATGAACTCCACATCATCTGATTGGTGTTACATGAGCCATTTATTATGAAAGGAATGGAACATCATTAACCGTCACTTTGTCGCACAAAAACATCTTGCCTGCTATATTGTAAACTATCGCATTAAAAGTTTCTTTTTTTTTTTTTTTTATTGTTTTTATTGAACATGAAAGTTCTATCAAGAATTCTTTTAATACATTTAATCATTCTTTTATTCCTTGTATTATAAGCAAAATATTTGTTCAATTATAATTATAGGTAATTACGAAAGTTTTTATTTTATCTAACTATCGAAATCTTTTTGATAACTATATAATATATAATTGTTACAGTAGCATTGGATTATTTATGTTATTAGAAAATGCACGAAATATTTTCCATATCTCTTGCATATTGATATTTAGATATCGCAATGTAAGCAAAAAAAAAAAAAAAAAAAAAGCGTGTAGTTCTAACAATGGAGCGTAACTATCATGTTAAACTTAAAATAATAAATTATCGAACATTTAAGTTTTTATGTTTGGTTGGATGTTAGAAACAAAATAAAATAAATCAACGTGCAATGGAAATGCAACTTGCATTAAATTCACGTTACAAAATCGAATATTTAATTTGAAAAAATTACATTTCATTCATCATAAAGTAATGATAAGTATAATAATAGTTTTATTCCATGTCGCGTACTATATTTTATATTTATTACATTAAACAAAACAAAAAACAAAACAAAAAAAAAAGAAAACAAAAAAAAACACAATTACTACTAATTTAATCACTGCCAATGCACAAAAAATTAACCTGCTTATCTGATTAAATAGAAGGATGAACAATTACCTTGTCATAACGATACTTTCTACTACTAATTATCAAGTGCAGCTGTTCCAAATACTAATTATTCATTTTAATCCTCCTTCACATTCAATTAACCAACGTGCAAATAAGCTATACACCAATCATAGCCCCTCCTCCTCCCACACCCGCCAGCCACCGTCTCTTTAGCTCTAACCCGACGTTCGCTCGGTTACGCAACACCTGTTAACTGTTCCCGAAAAATCGTCGAATATCATTTGTTAGCGAAATAACGTACATTTGACAATTCCCTCGAAATGTAACGAAACCGTCGACCATAATTCTATTTGCTGGCGCGCGTCCACTCAACAGTATATTCATACAAATAGGTAAAGTGAAATGACACGCACACTAAAAGAACAAGACACAATAAACTTTCAAGTGTGTAGACACGGAAAATCGATCACGATACAATTGTCGTACAATCTTCGGAACGCGTTTACACAAGTGCGTATGCCTAGTTGATATTTAATTAAAACGATGATACGAAGATAATGTCGATAATTACAAGTTTATTTTCTTTTACGCGTAATTAGGTGAATTATGCGTGTCTATATGTTAAAGAATTGAATTAATATTTGTATGGATAGGGTGTAACTTTTGTAATTGCGTCGACATTTGCTTTCAGGAACTAAAGCGTTTCCTAATTTTTAAATTATTGTTAATTTGTATGGATATTAAATATTAATGTAAAATAAAATGTTTTTAAGTATCAGCATGAACGTCATTGTGATTTAAATAGATATTTTTTTCACTTTGAAGTTAGACTCCTTTGCCCCTTATTTGGCAAAATTTGAAAAACTAGTCGTAAGAAATATAAAAATTTAAGTCTACTCGGACAAGTCGTTTTTGTTTAAAAATTTATTAACTAGTTTTTAATAGTTAAATTACTTTTTCATTAGAATTTAAAATTTACAGACACTAAACGATTCGAGCTAACACTAATTTCTGCAATAATGAAGTTTTATTACTTTTTAAATGGAAGATTTTTGAAGTCTAGTAGATGATTATAAAATATAAAAAGATTGTACAGTGATGAAAAATAAAATAAAGAAGCAAGTCAAATATGTTAATATTACAATTTTAATATTTTATGTTGTCATCATTTTTATTCAAAGAGAGAAACGTTTTAATTAGCAGTTTCTGTTAGTAATTGGTTTCCTGAATATAACAATCATGATTATACACTTTTTATAAATATAAAAAGTAAAGATTTAATATTTTTATTAAATTTTTTTTTTTTTTTTTTTTTTTTTTTTACATTATATGCCATTAATATTTATTTGATAAATTGTGAATCTCTTATGTATCATAATAAAATGGTTTTTAATTATTTTGCTCCTATAGCATTACACTAGTTTTAACAGAAAATCATAAAATAACTGACCGGAAAATTGATTATTGACGAGTCATAAAGAAATCTATAAAAATTGTTGATTCATAAGTTATGTAACTATCAGTTCAATAAGTTTTATGGTTTGTCATTGTGTGCGGTCATTTTTTATTTACTGACTTTGATTATGGACGAGCACTTGTAGTACATCAGTATTTCTTATGAAATTAATTGAATCAGGTTGAATGGAAGAGGGTGAAAGGAAAATAACGAGAAAAACTCTATGTCGCGCATATTGCGTAATTCATAATTAAAGTAAAATATGTTAAATATTCAGAAATGCGAAGAGAAAAAAAATGTAGAATAAAATTCCGGTATTAAGTAAGTTTATGCATATAAAATAGAAGTTTTCGTTAGAATCGAATGGACGGAGTATTTTATCGATTTGCTCGTACTTTTACTTACAAAAATAAAATTTAATTTCAAATCTTGATGATTTTCCCTTACATTTTCATGGGCTTTGCAATATTTTGAGAATATAGCATTTTATAAATACAAAAATCATTTCGCAAAACAATAGAATTACAAAAATACGAATTTCTTTATTAATTCTCCCCTATGTGAAAGTTAATTTTTCATTGGATATTTTTTTTTTTTTTTTTTTTTTTTTTTTTTTTTTTTTTGATTTTTATATACCCCGCATAAGCTTTGTTTGTCATAGTGTGTCATTAAATAAATTGACGGAAGGAAAATTTTCAAAATTTAATTTTATAAGGGACGTTGAAAGTGTAAGCTTCAAGGACAATTATTTTCGATACGATAAAATCCTGGCATTTGAATTTTTGCGATTTTTGTACGAGTAGAACAATTTATATACTATAAAATAAACTATTTTTAAATGACGCTCGAAAAACTTGTAACGACTTACATCTAAAATTTGCCTAAATAAATATTAGTGTAATTGAGAAATATTGTTGTATCTACAAATCAAGTTACTTAAACTTTATAATGTTTGTTTTGTCTGATTATACACAATACCTTCGTATTAGTGCATAATGATAAAAGATTATTTATTATGAGAAATTCAAACTCCGCTATTCGTATAGTCGAAGTGAAAATTACAATTTCATTTATTATGTCTCGTTTGGATTTGTAAGTGATAAATTTTAGGACGAAAATTTTTTTACAAATTCCAAACACTATTATCTACAGCGATAGCCTCTTCTTATTTATTTTATATTTGCTAATTATTTATTTCACATTTGCATGTACGCCGAATTTCCCCTAATGTGTAATTTGATCAGCTGAATGTCGGCTAATGAAGTTTATTACATAGAATGTTGTTACCTATTTAATATTCCTAAATCAAAGGTCTTAAATTATCCATTAAATGATCTCATTTGTTTAACCACGCGACTAAGTGTCATATTAAAAATATGTTCAAGTTACTTTAATAACCGTAGAATAATTCATAATCTCCTTTCAACAGGCGGAAATATCGAATCATCGCAAACTTCATCGAACAATTTATAAAGCAACCTTACATTTTCTATGGAATATCGCGTCGCAATAATCCAATACGCGGTTACTTTCTCTCATCGACG